TCGCAGAGAAGGGAGAGCTTGTACCTGAATAAAACTTGGTCTTAAAGGTGCCACTGGACTGTTTTGGATTGGTAGCTATTGGGGGGGGGGACGTGCAGATCTGTCCTCACAGAGGAGGGCGAGCTTGTACCTGAATAAAACTTGGTCTTAAAAGTGCCACTGGACTGTTTTGGAGGGGGGGGGGCTCTGTGACTTACCTGGCTGCTTCTTGCTCTGACTGAGGGCTGCTGGGAGCAGGGGGTTTGGCTTGTTGCATGTGCCTGCCCCCTGGGCTCTTTACTGCCAGAGCTCCGCTCCTGTGCGCTCCTGCAGGAAAAGACCCCTGAGACGTTTAGATAGTGGCTGTCTTCCTCATTTCACCCTAACCCTATCCATCCGAAGGAGTAACTGTGGCGGGCCTTGGAAGCGACATGCGCTTAAAATCGATTCCTTATTCATCATCGTTTCTCCACTGAATGAAGGAAGGAGGATGTCTATGTGGACATTGGCAGTTCCCTGAAGACCTACATTATTGAAGCTTACCAAGCTCAAGATTTCAAATACCATCTGGGATCGCTGCACACTCAGTTCAAAATGCCACAACCAACACAGCCCTAACCAAAACACGCCACAGTCAAAGAGATAGGCAAAGGCGAACACATGGTCATCAGTACCCACCTTTGTAGGGCACTCTAAGGTGAACTTCTAGGACTTAGCTGACACAGCTTTTGGAAGTGAGTTACAACATATTCTAGATCCGGAGGACAATGACCCACCCAGTAAATGAGGACACTGCTCTGGGAGGTCCCAGCAAGATGTCCTCTGCCTCAGAGGGAGAACGACCATTGGACACCTACCATGAAGGGTCCTTCTCCTCTGAGGAAAGGGGACATCTTGTCCCCCCCAAAGTCATCAAACCAGTTATTCAGCAGGTACACTTCTTGTTGTATAAGGTATAGATAGGAACTCTGGGGCAAGGGATGCTCCGTATTCTTGGTGCTTGGGGGGGGGGCAACAGTAGGAGGGCTTCTAGTGTCCTGGCCCCACTGCTGGATCTCCTGATGGTACGTGGTATTTTTGGCCACTGTGTGACACAGTTCAGACGCGCCGTTTCAGCCGGCATAAACTGTACCGGTTGGAACCGGTGCAGTTTATGCCGGCTGAAACGCAATCACACTTACCTCCCTCACAGCGGAACCCATCGCTGTATGCCTGTTCACATGCAGCGGGCGTCGGCGTTTTTTTGTTTTTGTTTTTTAAAACTCAATTTGAGCATGCGCATAGGCAGCCATCCACAGAATGGCGATCTTTGCGCATGCTCAAAACACCCCATATTACATTTAAAGTTTAAAGGTAAGGACTTACCTTTAAAGTTTAAAGCCCAAACTGGCCTCCCTGAAGTCCCGGACTCCTTTGGAAAGTTAAACTAAGGGCCTTTTCTTTTTTAAAAAAACAAACGCTGGGGCGAAGCTTCGCCCAAGCGCATATCAGCAACCTAAAAAAAAAATGGCGGAGGGAAAATTGGAGACTCAGGCTTCCGAACGGAAGTGGCTAGACACCGGTGGAGAGCAATCAGACGGCGGGTACAGCGATTACAAACGTTGTACTCAGGATACCACCACTTGGGGACCTAGTGGCAGAGTACAACGGTTTAAAGGGCTTTGCAACAGTTAAAGAAGGCAGATGTTCGCCGTGTGAACGCCAGTAAGTACATCAATTGCAACTGGCACTTATACCATTGCAAACGCCGCGTCTGAACGCACCCAGAGTGTTGGACTGGATGGGCCATTGGCCTGATCCAACATTGGCTTCTCTTATGTTCTTATCTTGTCTCACGAGTACCGTTTGCCTGTTTTTTCCTCATCTAGGTTGTCGCTCTGTTCCCTTTTCTTGAATTGACTTTACAGTCTTACTGCTTTCGGAGTTACCAGAACTGAAGAGGGTGACTCCCACAGGCAAGAGACAGGAAGTTGGACAGAGGGAACCACCCAGCAAGATGTCCTCCTTTCCTCAGCGGAGGAGGACCCTTCACAGGAAGTGTGCGATGGTCGTTCTCCAGAAGGGATGGAATGTTGTGGGCAACTGAGCATCAATTGAGGGGGAAAAGAACAGGGAAGGAGGAATTAAAAGAACAGCCTGAGGAAGATTGGGGGGGGGGTCGTTCTCAAACAATGAGGAATTTCAGACAGGCGTTATTTTTCGGAAGAGGAACGGTTCCCAAACGGTTTCTGGTCTGTCATTTCAGACAGAACCCGTTTTGAGAACCGGTTCCCTTCCGGAATATATTTGCCATTTCATACACAAACGCTTCTGTCCCCTTTAAAAAAAAAAAAAAGCCGGAGATCGCCCGCACGGGCAAAAAACGGCAGGGGGAAAGCAGGAAAAAGCGGTGCAGTCTGAAATGGCAAACCGCTTCAGATCCAGCTCTTTACCGGAAGGGGAAAGCCCTGTGTGAAATGGCAGCCCTGTACCGGTTCACTTTAAAACGGATCATTACCGGCTTGAAACCAGGTGAAACTGGGTAATGTGAAATTCCTCATTGTCTCCCCTCCGCTGGTGGCTCTTCACAGGACTCTTCGTTTCATCATTTCTATGCCACTTAAACCAGCCCAAACAGAAACAGTTGTTCTCAACTGAGTTGATTTTTTAAGGAAAGTCCAGGCGAGAATCCAGATTTGTAAGGACGGTCGATACTTTCTGAGAAAGGCTGCCATGTTTGTGGTGTCGATGGGCCACCCAACTGGCAAAGGCTCCCTGCTGAAGCTACCCCCATCTAAGTCCTGGGCCATGAGAAGATGGGAGTTACCTCGTCTCCATACGCTCACCATCTCTCCTTCTTCCTTTAGCGCCGTTTCAGTGGCAAGAGACAAACTTCTGTGGCTCAAGTCATGTTCTTCCTAAAGGACACATCCTGGTGGGCTCCTCAGCCAGGAGGAGATGGTGATACCTCATAATGAGAGACTGTCATACTGGAAGGAGGGGGAAGACCTCGGGGCCTTCATAAGCGGACAAAGTACGGGGGGAAAGGAGCAAGGTGTGTATCTGTTAGTCTCTAGCCCAATTTCAGGGAAGACGGGCTTTGAGAGACAGAAACTGCTGTGGATGAAATCATGTCTCTCCTAAGTCACGTGTCTCCTGATGGGATCCTCTCAACCAGGAGGGATGATTCCCCCCCCCAATAAACTGTGACGCCATCTCACCTTGAAGCAGGACAGGGATATCGGGGCCCTCGTGAGTAAGCAAAGTGAGGGGGGAAAGAAGTATGTGTACCTCTTCGGTCTTTATGGATTTTTAGAAGAACCACATTAAGAAGAGATTGGATTTATACCCCGCCCTTCACTCGGGAGTCTCAGAGCGGCTCCCAAACTCCTTCCCCTTCCCCTCCCCACAACAGACACCCTGTGAGGTGGGTGAGGCTGAGAGAACTCTTGACACAAACTGCTCTTTTTCAAGGACAGCTGTGCCAGAGCTTGTGACTGACCCAAGGTCACATCAGCAGGTGCAGGTGGAGGAGTGGGGGAATCTATCCTGGGAGAACCGGGTTTGAGTCCGCACACTTAGCCACTACACCAAACTGTCTCTCCAGTTAATTCCAGTCTTTAATTCCAGTCTTTAATTAATCTTTCCCAGTGTGTTGTGCCCAAGTTCTAAAGCTCCTTCGTTGGACTATGTGGTTCTGAGGATTCTTGTATTTTAAACAGCTTACGTTCCACCTGGAGTTTGGCAACCCTACATATGCTACCTAAAGCTGAAGGATCTTCCTTGTAAGCCTTCCTCAAACTTAAATGACTCTTCTGTTGGAGGAAGCCTGTTTAGGGTTGAGAAAAGGCTTCAAGCTTTGATCAGTGGTATGGCAAGAAGAGGAGGAGGAAGAGGAGGAGGAGGATTGGATTTATATCCCGTCCTTCACTACCCAAAGGTGTCTCAGAGCGGCTTCCAAACTCCTTTCCCTTCCCCTCCCCACAACAGACACCCTGTGAGGTGGGTGGGGCTGAGAGAACTCTGACACAAACTGCTCTTTTTCAAGGACAGCTGTGCCAGAGCTTGTGACTGACCCAAGGTCACATCAGCAGGTGCAAGTGGAGGAGTGGGGAATCAAACCCTGTTCTCCCAGATTAGAGTCCGCACACTTCACCACCGCACCAAACTGGCTCCCAATTAAGGAACATTAAGGAATGTTTCTGTTGAGGCATCTTCATGCGTTGCCAAGAGGTGGTGCTGGATGGTACCGGTGGTGGTGGAGGACACAGTGACCGATTCCCCACAAGTAGCTGTGCCACCGTCGCTCTTCCATTTGCCCCGGTTGCATTGGCCGATTTCAGCTCCCCTCGATTTCCCCCACGTCTTCTTTATCTCAAAAAACAAAGATCGAGAAGACGCGGGGGAAAATCGGGTGGAGATGGAGGTCAAAATGCGGCCGCGCAGCCAATAGTGTGAAATTGACCAAAGCAACTGGGGCAAATGGAAGAGCACGGGCGGCACAGCTGCTTGTAGGGAATCGGTTAGTGTTCAGGGACATATCAGCAAATGATGGGAATAACTGAAGTGGTTCACTATAGAATGAATCACAGTACAGACACTCTGCATGCTGGTAGGTAGGCCGTAGCAGTCGGCTGCCTCCTGGGGCACCGTGGACCTAAATGATGCTAATCTTTTATGCCACCCCGCCCTATCCAACCCAACTCCACATGTTACTTGGGATATAAAAATCCTTTCTGGGGTAACTGAAGGAGACATTGAGAATCCTTGGAAGAGGGGCGAGAAGAAACAGAGAAAGCTTTCACGGGGAAGACAGAAAGGCATTCTTGCTTCAAAACAGGTTCGTAAGGGAGATGGGCGACAGCCAAACCCTCCCTGAGCCAGAAGGCTCATCTGCATTACAAACACCTCTGCTTGATCAACTCCATGATAATCTGAGCAAAAGTGTTTCATAGATTAACCGGGGGTTTTGAGGTCAGGGTGGGAACAGTGAGGGAAAAGTTACATGGTGGCCAAAAAAAAAAATATTCAGTTTAGCCTTTAGTAATCATTTCAGTTTTTATTAGTTCCCCACCAGCCTTTCTTCTTACAGATATCAAGACAGTTTTGCTCTAACTGGAAACTGTCTAGACCAGATCTGAAGATTTTGGATCCAGCCTTTCATTAATCCAGTAAAAACAATAACAGAAAGGGTCCCTGGATATCTAGAGCTAACAGTACAGAACATCGCCATTCTTGTGGGACTTCAGCTGCCGGTATTTGGGAAGGAATTTCAGCCTGTGGTTCCGCACAGACATGGTAGACTCTGCAGTTAGGAGGGCAGTTTGTGTGTGTGTGTGTGTTTAATAATCAGAAGGTTGCACTTTTATCTTCTTAACGGCATCGAGGACAGCGGCAAGGCTGACTTTGTCTCCAAACTCCTTCTCACGATGCTCCAAGAGGACGCCCTAAAACAGGAAAGGGAGAAGATGGGTCAGGAAAGTGGTTGTGTCGCCAAAATGAGTTTTTCGGCCACTTCCCCAAGCTATCCGACTTGCCACCTGGAACATCCCCCCTCTTCGATCCCACCGCGATATACAATAGGAAGCGAGTATTTTAGTTCCTAATATATCCTGCAAGATGCGAGTTTTGCCTTAATCGTTTTAACTTGCTCTATTTTTATTGCACTTGGTGCCTCAACTGTTTTAATCCTGTTGTGTTTTATTGCACAGTGGTACCTATGTAAGCCGCCCTGAGCCCGCTTGCGGGGAGGGCGGGGTATAAGGGGAATAAAATAAATAAATAAATAAATATCCAAGTCGGTGCCTGTTGAGAAACTGATGCCAAGGGAGCAAAGTCTCAAACCTCCTTTTAAGTTTCTAATCCCCATTGTTCTAAGAGATAACATTACGGGGACGTGGTCGACTCAGGGAAGACGGTTATCCTCTAGTTTGGCCCTTAGACTCCGACATTCAGGTCCTCCTACCTGAGGCGATGCATGGGACTCCAGACCCCAATTCACAGTGGCAAAAATTCTACTTTGATTTTTCACACAGCAGGCAGGGGAGGGCTGTGCCGGTCTGAGGCTCATTCTCGCCACCTATATAATTTACGCACCCAGACCGTGTCTAAAGAGCTCCACTAAGTAGTTCAGATTAAATAAAAGATTGGGGACGGTGCTGATGCAGAACTATCTTTATGGAGAGGTGAATTCTCTACTTGTCGGGGTCTTTTAGCAATCAGTTCTCAACAAGACTCCTTTAAAAGGTTTATGTTTATTGAGTACAGTCAAGGCAGTTCTTCTGAGAATGCATTCATTGTCAGAACTAAAAGCAAGCATGCGCAGGGTAGAGTTCACTCTAAGCTGTGGAGTCTTGTGAGCAAAAATTCTACTTTGTGAGCTACTGGCATTAAAGTTGTGAGCGAGCGATTCGGCTGCTGCATCGATTAGTTTGCTCGGGAGCCCTCCTTCCTGAGCGAAGACAAAAATCTGCGAGCCGGAGACTAAAAAACGGTGAGCTAGCTCACACCAACTCAGCTTAGAGGGAACACTGTGTGATATACAGGAATCAAATGGGTCAGTGGGTGGATGGGGGCCAATCAGGAGTCATGCAAAAGCCCACCTAAGCTAACGGGCAAGCATTCCCGGGGAGGAGTAATAAGGTACCAAGGTCACCAAAGGAGGATAAGGGGCAATAAGGATGCAGGGAGAAGTGAAACTAAACATTCCAGAGAAACTGACAGAGACAATTTATCCAGTGTTTGGCTTCTCCCCCCACCCCCCAGTCCATGGCAGCTGCAGTACTCCATAAAAAGAATATATCATCAAGCCGCCTCGCCTTTCAAACCATCTGCCACAAAAGGTCTTTCTTTTCGCCCCTTGATCAAGCGTCGACGGTTCTGAATTTTGCCACGTCATTATGAATGGCCACCAATCCTAGCCTTCTGGATCGGAACGGTCACCCCATAAGAAGCACCGGGAAGACAGGACCGGGCTGATTCTCGCCAATCCCAGATTGCTGGCCCAAGCTGGGGCAACCCTACTCTGTCTGGTACTTCACAAAATGGCGTGGCGTGGTCGACGTCTCAAACTAGGATCTGGGGAACCCAGGTTCGAATCCTCCACGGAAGCTCGCCGGGTGAGCTTGGGCCGGTCACACTGTCTCAGCCAAACCTACCTCACAGGGTTGTTGTGAAGATAAAATGGAGGAGAGAACAATGGAAGCCGCTTTGGGCTCCCCATTGGGGAAAAGGCGAGATAGAGATAAAATCAATAAAGAAATCCAGCCAAGGGGCTGACCCTGGAGGCCTGGCTAACAGGCTGCTCTCCAAGAACCTCCTGTGGATGGAATGCCGCAAAGAACACAGACCCGGAGAAGGGAGCCGGCCCGCAGGCCCCAAGAGGTTAGGGAGGGAACTGCTCTCTTTGATACCTGCTTCCCAGGACCGATCACGAAAACGCCACCCAGGATGACGCCTTCTCCTTCGATGTTACCGCTGAAGCCGCTCCACCAAGCGCGGAGGAAATTCTTCCAGACGCTCCACCGAACGATGCCCAGGAAGAGCATCTTCCTTTTCCGAGGCCCGTAGAATCGTTTCTGGAGAAAGGAATTGGGAAATACTTAAGTGGGGGCGGGGAAAGAAAGGATGAGCTCTTTCTGGACGGTGTCCGAGGCTTCCTGGGGGAAGGCGGTTCTGAGGAAAGATCCGAAGGAAGCCGGAGAAGTGGCATTTCACAGGTGTCCTGGGGGG